CGCACAACGCCATGGCGCGCTCATGCTACTTCATCTGGGAAACTCACCAGCCCTCGTGGTGTCGTCGGCTGACAGAGCTCGAGAAATCATGCAAACACATGACCTCATCTTCTCCAGCAGACCCCAAACGAGCAACGCTAGGCGCCTTCTGTACAATTACAAGGATGTGGCAACTGCACCTTACGGCGAGTACTGGCATCAGGTTCGTAGAATCTGCGTTCTCCAGCTTCTTAGCGTGAAGAAGGTGCAATCATTTCGATCGGTGAGAGAGGAAGAGACAGCGCTTTTAATGGAAAACATCCAACACTCCTGTTCTTCCTCAGCTTCTTCGTCTGCTTTGGTCCACCTGAGCGACGCGACGCGTTGGTTTCTGTCACGAACGATGTAATCTGTAGGGTTGCTTTGGGGAGAAAATACAGTGGCACGGAACGGAAGAAGTTTAAGCAGATGTTGAGAGAACTACTGGATCTACTGGGAGATATCAGGGTGGGGGACTTCATCCCGTGGCTTGCTTGGGTGGATTATGTTAGAGGAATGAAGAGCAGAGTAGAGAAGAACTTCAGGGAAATAGATGCTTTTCTAGAGAAGGTAATCGAAGAACATATTCATGGCGATCATGGAGGTAGTGAACAAGACTTGGTAGACGTTTTACTTGCGACCGCAAAGGATGGCAGCATTGGTATTCCTCTTGAGAGAGACAGCATCAAAGCTATCATATTGGTAAGTAAAATAATCAAAAAACTCTTGCTTCCTTTTTTGTTTCTCTGTAAATTTTTTTGTTAATCTCTTAGTTAATTTCTATCAAACCAAACACAGCACAACACTTTCAATAATAGGGAGTTCAACCCACCATTAATGTAGTGTCAGCATAAATTACATTCATTATCTTTTTTCTTGGTTCTTTTCCCTTGTAGGACATGTTTAGTGCAGGAACTGACACTACACATACAGCCATGGAATGGGCAATGGCAGAGCTATTAAGACACCCAAAAGTTATGAAGGAATTGCAGGAAGAGGTGAGAAATGTTAGTAGCGGAAAACCCTATATTACGGAGAAAGAAGTAGAGAAAATGCAATACTTGAAGTTGGTTATAAAGGAGACCCTAAGACTACATCCTCCAATTCCTTTGTTGGTACCAAGAGAATCGACCCAAGATGTCAAGATAGAAGGATACAACATTCCAGCCAAAACAATGGTGATCATCAATGCTTGGGCAATTGGAAGAGATCCTGCATCATGGGAAGAACCAGAGAAATTTCAACCAAAGAGGTTCCTGATCACCTCTGCAGGTAATAACCTAATTGACTTCAAAGGAAATGATTTCCAGTTGATTCCATTTGGAGCAGGCAGGAGGGGATGCCCAGGAACTCAATTTGCAATTACAGTCAATGAACTTGTACTGGCCAACCTTCTATACAAGTTTGACTGGAAATTGCAAGGTGGAGAGGATTTAGACATGACAGAGAGCACGGGGGACACAGTTCGAAAGAAGCACCCACTCGTTGCAATTGCAACTCCTCATTATTAATGACAAGCTAAGAGTACACTTTTGCTTCTCATTTTTAGGCTTTTAGCCTTGGGTTAATTAAAACTGTCAGTCATGGCCTTCCATGTATTGGTCTGCCCTACCTTGATGTGTGTGTTATGTATCTCTGTATGTCTTAGTATGTGTATATGAGAGAGAAAAAGAGAGGACTGTTTCTCTATATATATCTTATTATATATATATATATATATATATAATAGTGTCAATGGGCCTTATTATATTTTTAGACTTATTTCATCTCATTAAATCTGATATTTAAAGCAATTTTCTTCTCACTGTTGAATCCGCTAGTTTCTAATAAAAATTGATCACTGATTAAATCTATAATCCAAAATTTTGTATTTATAATAAGACTGTGTTTCTTAAAACCAGCAAAGAAATGAAATCATTTTCTCATCTAAGTGGCAAGTTATCAGTTTCAAGTTCCAACACCCAAATCAAAAGAGTCAATTCATGATATCATAATTAAAAAATAGATAAAAAATACAAAAATTAAAAATATTTATATATTATATATTCCACATATTAAACAAGAATGAATAATCAGAATCATGTTTATTTATACTACAAATGGAATACAAAATGATGTACCTGGGAGAGGAAAAGGGGGTCCAACTGAGATAAGAAAGTCAAGTACTTTCTCATGTAAAATAGTTTGCCAAACCGACTCGGGAAGGAGAGGTGTTTAAGCAATTAAGTTTGAAAGTAGGTCCGTTATGTTAAATTTGGATTCTTTTTTATGAGGGCTGTGAGACTCAACTTTTCATTTGTTCATCATACTAATTATGATGATGTTTGGTTCTCTGTCATTTATATGAAAAATAGCATTATTTCATTGCTACATAAGTATTTATTCCAAAATATTGTTTGATAAATCATTTATCAAATAAACGTTTCTCGATTTATGTAAAAGTCAATTATTGAGGRAAACCTCTTTTTAATGTTTTTCCTGATAGGTAGGCATTTTTTTACTGTTTAGCTTATGTGGTGCCTAATAGAGTCTAATGAGTTTTTACGGGTGATCCACAAATGTCGATTCAAGCAAAATTAGATCCAATGCATACCCATGGGCTTAACAAAAGTCAAGAAAATGTCCAACCTAGAACCAATGCACGGTTACCTAATACCTAAAATCTTCTCTTTTTTTTTTTCTTTTGGAGAGAGAGAATATTTCACATTTTGCTTTAATTATTAACTGCATATAAGAAATAACATTTAGATTTAAGTTCTATTTAATATGGATTCAACTATGATACTAGAAAAACTTATAACCCATCATGCAAGATCATAAAAGTGGTGATCAATCAGAAGGTTTTTCAATGCACAGCTATAAGTGTTGTGAATAACTTATAACCGCATATCAAGAACATGTCAAAGTATGCTTTCAATATTCACGGGGAGATATTTTCAATGCACAGCTACAAGTGTTGTGAATTGGGTGTGAGGACCATTTGCTGAGAACAAAATCGCGATTAATGAATATGGTAGGTACGGCACTACAAAAAAAAGGGTCTAGAGCTGTTGCAATGAAGCTGTGGACATAAAAAATCGTGGCTAAAGCATGGGATATTGCATGGACATGAAATTTTCGTAGCTAAAATTGATCTTTAGCTACAACCAATTCGTCTGTAGCTAAAAGATTTTTATAGCCACGGAATAAATGCATAATAGAGTACAGATCTGTATATCTAACAATAGCAGGCAAGGTTTTAAAAACTGGCCCAGAAATGGAACCATTCTGGCCACCATTTTTGGGTCGATGGTTTAACCATCTGATTCGAAAAGATGACCAGCTCCAATGAAAAGGTAAAAAAAAATAAAATAAAATAAAAWAAGCCAAAATCATTGAAGGGGTCAACATTTTGACTGCTCAGGTCAACAGGTCGCTAACCAATTTAACGATTTTTGGACAGAAATCGAGTTTGGGGTAAAACAGAACCAATTGACTGGACGTCCAAATCAATAGTGGTTTGAAAACATTCATAGTGGTTCCATTTTTCATTCCGTTACCGGAGGAGTCACTTAGCTTCACAGAGCTTGTTTAATTTCCTCTGCTAAGCAAATAATGAAGGTAAGCAAGGAATGATGACCATGATCGTGATCGTCAATTAATTTCTTCTATGGAAGCTTTAGAAACCTCTCAGCTGGCTTATCCAGGTTCTTGTTTGTTGTGTCTATTTTGTAATATTTAGTGCAGTTAGAATGATCCATTTCAGACAATCTTTGTTCCTTCTTACCTAAATTTAAGCAATTGAATGATCTGAAATGAAAGTAACTGATAATTAGTCAGAGTGAACCAACTATTTCAATGTGGTTGAGCGACACTGCAGAGAAGTCAAACTTGGAAATGTATCGGGCGCTGGGACACAGACCATGGGCCTCCATAAACTGCTACCCATGACCCATCATCAGGTTTGGGCATCACGAGTAGAACAACTTTTTTAATTTGTATGAACTATGAACTGATATTTTCAAGTTGGACCCATCTGATGGTGAATTCCAATATTGGAAACATGTGTCCAAGACAAGACCCATCTACGCGTCCTGTGTAGCCAGAGCCAGATTTGGTGTTCTAGCCTTCTAGACCTTCCGCATTAGGCACTTAAAAAATTTTTCATGATTTTTTAATCATGGGGACATGGGCAGTGAGTTGCGTCCAGACTTGTAATTTTAGATATTAAACCTGAAAATTTAGAATCCGGACCTGTTCCTTACACCGACCTCACAGCATGTTCTGACCATACATTACATTCGAAATATCTGAAGTACTTGTATTTATTATCTCCCCAATACACGGTGGAAATGTGAATATAACGTCGGTGTGACTAACAAGCAGATACCATTTCGGAAATTTATGGATCAGGTCAGGCCAAACTTGGCGAAAAATGATCACCCCTAATTTGGCACTGTAGTCTCTTAATGAATATTGGATCAAGAATTAGAGTTTGAAATGTTTTTAAATACATGCAGAATGGCCTAGTTATCAGCTAATATAAGCATATGTACAGATGCATTAACCATGCAGATTATGGTATCTATGATCTCCCATCCCATGAGCAACTGATCTCTTAGGAACAATAAGAATTTGTCTCTATTTTCTTGTCTGCATAAATATTTCTTAAATTCAGCTTTACAAGAACTCTGAAAAACAGAACTTAATGTCCTTTTTAGTTCACCCTATAAGTTAATTGAGAGTTTGAGGATGGGCTACAGGCTTACAGCCGGTGAAGAAATGCTGGGTAGATCACATAAAAGTTAAAATCATCCATGGTCATGGCGTTGTTTTTTTTCACTCTTCTCTGTAACCACTGGTAATCAAATCAACGATATAATTTATGCTTATGGTTGGTAAAATTCATTTCCATAACCTTCAGTTGTAACTGTTGAAATGGTGACGATATTTATCCAATTTTTTTACACAAAAAAAAAAACCCAATTTATGTGAGAGAGAACTGAGTGAGAAGTAAGCATTTTAATTTTCGATAGGCCTTTAATCACTTCCTTTTTTTGGTAAAGCATAGAATACCCAATTAAGGCATACAAGTACGTACCATCCTCCACCTCCACTTCAAGTTAAGCAGGCAGGCACTGTAGTCTGATAATGGTAGACTTGTCTTCTTTCAGGTATTGGCATTTGTGGCCTTTGAGCATCGAACTGAGTATGAGTGTGTGTAATAATGCACCAAACAAGAAGGTAGATGCCCAGCGAAAGCCTCTATTGCCCACTCCATATATAACATAAAAAACAAGAGAAAAAAAATCAACTGTTCAACCTTTCTGGGATATTCATACATTACTCTGCATCTACCTAAATCCAGAGGGTGCTGCTTGTGGCCCAGCTCCTGCTGTTCTCCTCATGGCTTTTGATTGAGCTAGCATTTCGTCATAATTCTGATCAGGAAAGAAAAAAAACAATTGTGAAGGGCATGGAAGCAAGTAGGTGATCAAGAAACAACAAGAAAAGATGAAGAATATGGAAGCATGCTACTTAAAATGAAAATAAAAGGTTAAGTGTGTTTGTTTACTCGTTTCTCATAAGCAACATCCCTAGAGTCAATTATTTTGTCTGCAATACCATAGGCAATGGCCTCTTGTGCCTGGAAATATTTGGGTCGTTGGATATCCTTCTCAATTTCCTCCTTCGGTTTCCCAATTCCTTTTGCTAATAGCTCGATGTAGTAATCTGTGTTTGCTTGTAGCTCTTTTGCCTGGAGAAAATACAGCTTAGGAAACAACCCACATATAAGTGAATCAAATTCAAGTGCCGGTGAGTACCTTAATCCACATATCAATGACTGCCCCACTTGATTTATTGACTTTTGGCAGATAGAGTTTCGCTGCAACACAAGATTACATTGTCAGATGCTGAGAATTGTAGATTTATGGCAAGCCCTACACACTGACTAGGCATGTGATCAGATAATTAATTCCAAGCATTCAGATCAATAGGACTTGGGGCATAGTCTACAAAAGTCAAAACAACTTTTACATGTTTATCTCGCTAGTCTGTCTGTCATATCTAGGGTTTAATCTGATTGTTGTCTAAAAGAAAGCCATTACCCAATCTAGGTCCCAGTTATCTGGAGTCTTGGCTCTTGGGTAGGGTGGATGAGATACAGAACTAACCTACGGCAATTTTTTTGCATAAAGTGGACATTCTCAGACTTGAACCAGCATTCTCATGCTTGTAAGCCTGAGATTTTACCATTACACCAAGAAATGGTCCCTCCAATAACTGGATGGATGACTAAAAGGTTTATCAATATGTTCACATATATATGTCTGGTTGACCCAATCTCCAGGTTACAAATACAAACAACCAAATTGGTTTAGAGATCATATTGTCAATGCTTTCAATACATAACAACACAATTTTTTGCCATAAAAGGATTTATATCAAAAATATAAATTCTAGAAATAATGACAGATCTATCTTACTGGAGGCATTTGGCTGTAGAGCACGGTAACCCTTGGCTCCAAGTGATAGCAGCATTGCTGCTTGTCCATATGCCATGCCACAGTTCACTGTATAAACTTTTGATTTGCAGTACTGTAGACAAAAAAGAAGATACAAAGATAACATCAGGAAAGACATGACAAATTATTATGTCCCAGGTTGCAACTACATGTCTAGCGTCCCAAAAAATAGGACACCTTGTAAAATTGGAGGTCACCATGTCTCTTCTTTAAATGAGAAGCTAGGCTTTTACCTACTATTTGACTCTGCTACATGATAGAAATTCCTAATAAAAGCAGTTAATAGGCCATATAACTAAGTGAGAATTCTTACAGCCATGGTGTCAGCAATTGCATATGCCTCCGTTTCAGATCCAACAGTCTCCATCTTCTCATTCTGCAAGTAACAAGCAATAAAATAATAATGGAGAAATTGCACCCTATATCATATACCATAAATGTTTCTATATATTAACTTAGGTGGTTAAAAGTACAGGGATGTTTGATTCTAGAGCCGACCTGTGTCCCAGATGAATTAATATATAAATATATGGGCTTTGATGGGTTATCATAATCCAACCACATGAGCTGAGCAACAAGAAGTTCAGTTACTGCCGGAACAATCTGTAATCAACCAAGAGCAAATATCAAAATGACACAGATCAAGAGCTACAGAATAAAGTAGGATCCATGGTGAGAAAAAAGGAATCAAAATGATGAAGACAAAGTACAAAATATAGAGCTACAACAGGATCTTACAGGCATGCCAAGATAGCAAATCCGAGCATCTAATAGTAAAGATGGCAAATCTGGAGGAGCAGATCTGGGTCTTCCATATCCTCTGGCTCCTCCACGGTACATGCTCACACTCATACTATACCTGGAAGGACCCCCATCCTTCATGCCTGACAGACTCCACATTCCTCCTTGATCCAAATAGTTCCTGGCAGATGAAATGCTTTCCTGTCACATTTTCCTTAGAGCATTAGATTCCTCTAAAATTCTGCAGCAAATAAGAGATGGCTGCTGTGTTCAGTTGGTCCAAATTATAGCAACAAACAAGCAGGTATTAACATGATTTGAAGATCCCAGGGCCCAGTGTATCAACAAATACTTCCAAATCCAGCACTAGATGCACCATGGAAATAATTATTGGCCTAGACTCCAGCTGGTCCAATTTGAGCAGCCATTTCTTGTTTATGACATAGCCTGAAAGAAAGATAACTGAACTACAAACTGTATGATAATAGTGCATCCCTTCCTGTTTCCACAATAACATAGGATCCTCCTGGACAATGAAGGACATTTCTAATGGATGGAGTGTGTATCTGATACTTGTTGGAAACTGATGCTCCACAGATTTGTTGTTGATAATTCTGTATTTTCTTTTCCTTTTCTTTCATCATTTGACAGGCATGTGCAAATTTAAGATATAAATAAAGTTATTTCTTCCTATGGAAAATCCCTAGGTGGTGAAGATGAGCATTTGTATATACTTATGCTCTTTTCTGTAGGTATATGGGTGCCAAACTTACAAATATTCTATTGTTTAACAGTAAAAGACCAATGTATAGGAGACCCTGGATCTATGTTTTTCCAGCCACAAAAGTAAGGTGTTTCAACAAGTTTCAGATTAAGGCCCTGATTTAGTTCAACTTTACTCCAGTCTTAGTTTCCTTATAACCAAATATTGTCACCATTCTTTACATCCCTCAAACATTGATATGAAAATAGTACAAAAAATACGAAAAAGAGAAAACCTCTGTGACTTTCTCTGCTTGTCGACTGATGGGGCTGTCTTCCGTCATGAACATGTCCATTTGTGAAGCAGTTAAGCCATAAAGATATTTGGGAGCATTTTTGTAATTGTCCATTACTGTGAAATAAAAATATGAGAGAAACTAAGATAAAACTGAACAAAAAACTGTTGAAAATTCAGATTGCATGAGCAGGTGAACTAAATGAAACCGATATGACGAACAACATATTGAAGTTCATCCGGTCTAGCAGGAAACAAGAGATTCTTATTGGATCTTAAGGTTAGAAATTCTATAGATGTCAAGGGACTATACTAATCCAGTCCACGATATAAAATACTCTATGACTCGGATAAACATGCCAATTGTATATTGACCTTGCACACCTTTAAGAGAAATTTGATTGCAAAATCAAGATGAGATACACATCCCAAAATGCTTTGCAATGAGCAATACAGTACCAGGTAAATTTCTCATAGTGAAATTTTACAAAGGAGGCGGTGTCCTTGACATTAGTTATTAATAAACCAATTGTACTGAAAAGGAAATGTCACATATTACATGCTTCTGGACTCATCTTACCTCAGGTTAATCATATTTAGATGACCAAATCGGTTGCTTCATCAAAGGCAACTGTGCATCTAAGCCAAGAAACGGTTTTCATTGAGAATTCTGAACGAATTCAAAGACCATAAAACCATGGTCACATTATTGATAAGATGCTAACATATATAATGCTGTATCATAGCGTTCAAGGCGCAAAGGCGAGGCTAGGCGACAGGGGGTTGCCTTGTCACCTAGGCAATGGATTTTTTTATGTAGAAAATATGGATCCTAGGGTAGTTCCCTTGGTACCATAACCATATTTCCTTAATAATTATTCATAATTTTCATAAGAAAAGTGTAGACTTCATGTTGAAGTATAGAAAATCAACAAATTCATGAGAAGAAAAAGAAGAAGAAAAGAAAATGTGTTGATTAGACAAAATTTTAAGTTCTTTACTTATTGGTTCAGGTTTTAAAGTCTTTGAAGGTTCAATACAGCATTTAGCAATGTTTATATTGATTAAACCCTAACAAATAAGAAAATAATAAAAATAAATTAGTATATAAACACACAAAATGAATATTTTAGTTTAGTAGTGTCTATTTTATAATTATAATGTCAAAAAATAAAGAATAAAAAGTATTTTATGATACATAGTACAAAACTGATCACTGATTAGGCGAGGCGAGCCTCAAAGGGCGCCTTGTCGCCTAGGCATCGCTATGACAACTATGTGCTGTACAATGCTTTGGTTAGGAATCAGGTGGAAGTTGATTCAGCCAAAGGAGTTCGGGGAAAACCAGTTCCTCCAAGAGTGGAGGCTTTTACTTGGTTGGTGTCAATAGATAGAATTCTCAATTCTTACTCAAGACAAGTTGAAAAAGAGAGAATTTCACATCCCAAATAGATGTGCTTTATGTCTATCTGAGGAAGAGAATATTTTTCATTTGCTGGTTTGCTGCAGTTATGTGAAAGGAATTTGGACCTACTTCAAGCTGTTCAGAGTGGCCGGATGGTCGCCTAATGGGTCTACTGAGATCTTTGAAAGCTGTCCAAGAGTGCACGGGAACATTAAAACAAAAATCCTTTGGAGCTGCATTCCATTTGATGTTTGTTGGGAGGTATGGAAGGAGAGAAATAAAAGAAATTTTTTAGTGGAAGATGAAGAGCAATGAAGAGTTAGAGGGAATCATCAGTTCAAAGATCATTGGATGGGTTTTAATCCTTCCAGAATTTGAATGACTCAAAAAAGAAGACTTTGGTTCGGAATTTGAATGTTTGATCATTGTCTTTTGTCATTTTTGGAGCCAGTTATGTATGTTGATTGGTGATTCCTTGTCAATAAATTTTCTTCTTTATTTATCTTCCAAAAAAAACAAATAAATAAGGTTCTTTAATACTGAATCAAACTGTCAAACCAGATGCATAGAATGGTGAGGCAATTAGATAGAGATCTCAAAAGTTACAAATGAATGAGCCTGCATAAGTTCTGAGGTGGGCATAATTTAACAAACATGGATATTGGGGAACATGATGCAAGAGTTGACTGTCCTGCAAAGCTGAGAAAAACCAAGTAGAAAGCTAACCAGGTACGGTTGTTCAACCTTGCCTTAGATGTTCTCAGTTCATTATATGGAATTGGGAAATACCTCTTAAGTGGTTCAGGACACAGGAAGAAAGAAGTGATATACTTCAATATTAAAACACTGATCATTTCAGTTCCTTTTTGCTCTCTTTCCATGGAAGTTTAATTGTGGTCTTGGATTAACATTAATTTTCTAAAATAAGGATTCAAATCTTAAACAGTGGCTTTAAAAACTCAAAGAGATTCAAACGAATGTGGGAGGAAGCTGAATATGATTTTTTTTTCCTTTAATTTGTTAATATTATTATAATTATTTATTTACCGGGTTGGGGCCGTCGGGCTATGATGGCTTAGGTTTTCAACTTATAGTCGATTTTATTTTTCTTTCTCAATGGTTAGGGTGGTTTGGTTGGTTTAGGAGCTATTCAGTTAGTATTTATGTCCACCAGAACTGGACTAGATGTATCAGGAAAAACTAGCAGAGAAATAAGCAACTCCACAATTTCTCATCCAAAATAATTGAATCAATCTCCAGAAACAGAATTAACAGGGAAAAAAACAAAGAAGAAGAAGCGAAGAAACCCCATGTACCAGAATTGCAAATAGATATGAAGAAAGGGCATGAATGAAGACTCACATCCGTCTTTGAGGTTCTCTTCTCTGAACCTTTTAGGTATGTGGTCGAACGAGGTCGAAGCAGTGGGAGGAGTAAATCTCCGGACTGTCGTTCTTCTGAAATTGGGAAGGGAAGGAGAAGGAAGTAAGTGCTTGGTGCCAGAAACGAAAGAAGTCTTGATGAATCCATTCCCAGAACCCACTTCTCGGCTTCGCGAATCGGTTACGGTAGACGAGAGTGGTGCAGCTACGGAGGGGATTAGAGACGTCGCCATGGCTTTGCTTTGCTTCGGCTCAATAACAGTAATCAGAATGAATCTCCCGGTCACGAGGATATCAAATGAACGGAGGGCTTTTCCAATGAGCGGCTGCACTGGAAACCGGATCTCCTGCAAGCAAAAAACTCTCCTCACATCGCATCTAGCCGCACATGAGGAATATCTCCCTATAATCCCTTACATTATATTAAATTAATAGCGAGATGTTCCTATCGTACGAATGGATTCCATGCTTTCAAAGTATTTGCAAAGTTTTTGGTTGTAGGAAATCTCTGCCGATTGGAACAGCCAACAAAACGTTACCAATAGTACCAACCAGTTTATGCAGCCGCACGTTGGGAACATCTCATAAAAGATATTCCCAGCTCAAAGGCTGAACGATTTTTGCCGGTTTGATCATCCATGCCAAATAAGTGAAACCATGATATCTGAACTTTTTAGCCAATAATAATAATAATAATAATAATAATCCTCAAAACCTTTATCGACTATTTCGGGTCTACATGAATTCTGTGCAACGGATGTCATGCAAGCAAAAACTATGTAGACACTGTGAAAGGATAGGAATTCAAATGGACATTAGTAATAATTTTCCATGAATTTAATATATATATATATGAGATATTTCTAATGTGTGGTTAGATCTTATGTGAATAGAGTTTTGTGGGACTCAAATCCTATTTTGTCATTTTAGTATGTCTAATGTTATATCCTTTGTCAAATTATCATCGCTTAAATCATTTTTTACAATTTTTACCCACGACATTTTTGGTCTACCATAAGCCTGCTAAAATTTTCAACTTACAATGGATCTCTTTTTTGGTAGGTTCTACCCGGAACTGAATGAAATTAGTCTTGAACTGACCTTACCCGATCTGTTATAGGGTAGGATCTAGTTCCAAATTCTTAAAATTGATTGCAATATAAGCCAGTTCCAGGGTCTAAGGGTTTACCCTACCTGAACTGACCCAATGGATCAGTCTTGGTGGAATCGATCTTGGTGGAACCTGCCTTAGAATTGAACTTGTCTTGAAATAAATACCAAAATACTTTTTTTATTGTAAATAAGATAGCTTATTTAAGCAACGAAAGAACATAAATATACATAGAGCAGAAACCCCCTAGGAGATTTAACGATCAGTTTGCAGGGGTTCAAAAAGAGTTTGTTTTTCTTGTCTAATGCGAGCTTTATTTGCTAGGAGATGAGCTCCAATGTTTTCAGATCTTTTTACATGGGATATACTAAAATTTACAAAAAGAGATATTATTCATTTGATTTCTTCGATTATGCCTTCCATGAAGGACAACAACCCTTGTGTGAGACGGGATCTGCTCCTCACATGCACATCCACCATGCATAGGGTACATCTCCCATGAATAATGACTTAAAAATACAGATGTTCCCAATGCACGGTAGGATGTGTGTGTGAGACGCCCTCCTGTGAGGAGCAGATCTGGTCTTCCCTTGTGTAGCTTATATCCTGCAACTGCCTTAAGCTTCTAAGACATTAATTGGTGCTGTGGTTTTGCATGGTTCTCCTTCTACAAAGATAAGTGATATTCAAGGAAAACAAATTTTCTGTGGTTTTGCAACTGCAACTGCCTTGAGCATTTTTTTTTTATTTTATATGTTTATATATAAATGTTAAATAACAAACATCCAATCACTTTTGATCCCAAAATTTATTATTAGTTGATTTATTTGCACATTACAGTTTTCCTATCTTATTCATCATCATTCACGAAATTCTAAATTATTTACAAAACTGAAGATTCTTTCTTAAAAATCATAAATTTTGTCAATGGGAGTTTTTGTAATGGCGGTACTCTAAATTTGAGATTGATGCCCGTCACAATAGAGGAAAAAAGAGAGACAAAATAGTTATTGAGGATTTGGTTAAAAGACTTAAAATTAGGTTCATCTCTACTTAACAAACCAGGTCTTGACCTGGGTAATTTGCCAAATTGTCTAAGCTTTACTGAGTTCGACTAAATCATTTCATTCTTGGTTTCATGACACGAGTTTCAAGTCATGTTGGAAATTTGAAATTTTTGGAAAGATGAACCCTTAGATGCTATATTATCTTATAAATTTTGATACTTTTTTTATTCTTTCTCTGAAGTATCATATCATAAGTTTTAACGAATGGCAAGGGTTGAACACTACTAGATCACTTGGCTAAATTGACTGTATAAGTAGGTTTTGGTACTTAAGGAACCATTCAACCTGAAATCTTAAGTTGTTTGGTGAGATGTTTGAATATATTTTTATTCTCTAACATTATCTACTTTTAAACCAGACAACTCACTAAATAAGAAGGGCCCGTTTGGTTTGTGATTGGAATCGGAATCGGAATGGTCTATTTCACTTGGTTGTTTGGTTCAGACCGGAATTGGAATCGGATTCCGATTTATGCTGTTTGGTTCATTAAGAGGCTGGAATCGGAATCAGCCATAATTTCCAATTTTGCCCATAATAAAAATAAAAAAAAGCCAAAAATGCATGGAAATACCAAAAATTGCAAAAGTTTTGTAGTAAAATGCAGAAATTACAATAATTTGTAGAAAATTCAGAAATTGCATGAAAAATAAATGACATTTGCAGAACTTGCAAAAAAAAAAGCAGAAATTTTGCAAGAAAATGCAGAAATTGCAACAATTTTCAAAAAAAAATCAGAAAAATGCATGAAAATACTAGAAATTTTGTAGAAAAATAAAAAAAAAATAGAGAAAATTTGTAGGAAAATGCAGAAATTACAACAATTTAACAGAAGATTCAAAAAATGCATGAAAATATCAGGAATTTTGTAGAAATTGCAAAAGTTGCAAGAAAATGCAGAAATTACAACAATTTTGCATAAAATTATAGAAATTACAGAATTTTTGTAGGAAATTGCAGAAAATTGCAAGAAAATCAGAAAATGCAGAAATTACAATAATTTTGGCATAAAATTCAGAAAAATGCATGAAAATACTAGAAATTTTGCAAAAAAATAGAAAAACATAAAAAGTTTGCGGGGAAAATGCAGAAATTACAATAGTATCCAATGAGTTTAACCAAACTTGGATGAGAGAGTTGTCCTAGAAATATAACCTCTGCCTACAAACCTGCCAAGTTCCTAGCAGAACTGAAAGAGAAATAATCTCCAAATAATAGTAGAGAAAAATAGAGAAATAATCTCCAAAGACAAAAGTACCATCCATTCTCTGTGGCCCTGAAAACTATTACCCCCATCATGAACCTTGACTACTACTTGAAGGGGCTGAAGCCCCTTACTTAAATCCTCAGAAACGTATCCTCTATAAACACTTCCAAATCCTCCTCCACCCAACACATGATCTGGCCTAAATTTCTTTGTTATTATCTTTAGTTCATTGTAAGAGAATGCAATCAGTGGATTTGCAGCAAATTCACGTCGTAGGTCCTCAACCTCTTCAGGATTGGAAGGCAATTTCTGGCCATCTTTCCCTTCCTACTGATGGGGCTTGGTATTTTGGAGACTCTGAAAAGGCAGGATATAATTAGATAAAGAAATTGAAGAAAACATGGGATAAAAAGAACAATTCACTGTTTTTCTGAAAAAAAAAACAAAGAAAAAAAAAGAGAAACAGATAACAGTCTCAAAGCAGATGAAAAACCAGAAAGAAAAAATAACAACTAAACATAAAAATCTTAGTTTGCTATTGTATTTAATAATTTATTCATTATAACCTAATCAGGTAAGATGCGGTCAATGTTCGATTACCTTCCATTGCTTGTGTATTTAATAATTATTACTCTACAGATTTGTTTTAGATCTGAATTGATATTGTCCGTACACATTAGGCCTACATTTCATTGTGAATTTTGTCCTACATCAAATGCATTATACATTAACAACATAAAAATCTTAGTTTTTTTATGTATTTAATAATTTATTCATTATAACCTAATCAGGTAAGATGGAGACAATGTTCAATTTGCTTCCATTGCTCTCTAGTGTGTTTCACAAATCCTGATTGATCAGTTTTTTTTTTTTTTTGCTTCTTGATTGGTAAGATTTTTACCTTGTGAAAGTACAGGAGAGAGATTACTAGTCCAGTAAGTGATAAAATGAGGGATAACAAACCAAAATGGTTTGGATATATACATAGAAGACTGCCTGCTGCACCAATAAGAAGCAATCTGATGCAAAGGGCTGGAACCAAGATGAGACAGGATCAGGCGTAAAAGGACATTGGTTGAGGTAGTGAGAAATTATTTTGGGGCTTACAATTTAATAATGGTCAATGGATATGGCCCTTGATAGAATGGAATGACAAAACAGGATTAATGTAGCACAAACTTGTCCAAGCTACATAAGCCAAGTTGAAAACCACAGTGGATATTATTTTCCCCTGGACAGACTTTAGTAATCTTGAGTTCCTTAAAGTTGGAAGCATGGTCCTACTCTAGGTTCATTTCTACATTGTACAAGAATATACAACTCAAAGAAGGTGCTCATTTTACTGCATATTCCTTATTGTCTAAGTGTAATTTGATTTTTTCTAGGGATCTAGAAATGAAATTTATGCACCTTTTCACTGATACAATTAAGGCCTGAGGGAAGAGAGACAGAAAGATAGAGACAATCTAAACATGGTAAAATCTTGGGAATATATTGATAATTTCCCATGAATATCTAGGAAGGTTTGACTGTCTTTGTTAAGGGCCCGCGAATAGGATCTCGTCACAGGTCGGTTAACGGGGAAAACTTCTTTTTTTCCCTTGTTTCTCCCTTTTCTCGAGGAACCTATCTTTAGCGCCTTTATGGTGATTTGTTAAAGAGATCACCAACTCTCCTCTGCTCTTTCTTGACTGAAATTCTGGATATATTTATTGAATAACATCTGCTCCTTAAATAGGAATTACAAGAGTCCTTCTTAAGGAAACTTTCTAAAAACATTAAGAGACTTTCTAAAAAGAGACTTTCTAAGAACATTAGGAAACTTAAGAGACTTTCTAAAAACATTAGGAAACTTAAGAGACTTTCTAAAAAGAGACTTTCTAAAAACATTAGGAAACTTTCTAAAAGGAAACTTTCTAAAAGAAACATTAAGAAACTTTCTAAAAGACCTAGGAAATAATAATGCTACTGCCTAATTAAGAAACTGAATCTAACGCCCATTACTGCTGCTGTACTGCTGCTGTCTGCGGCTGCATCCACAATAGTCTTCAACAAAATATCTCTCAGCCTACAACATGAAATTGTTGTTGTTGATGATGGTGGTGCCATATGACCTTTCATAGACCAAGATAGAGTAATTTTACTTATACTTCCAATCCCACTTAAGTGGGATAAGACGGATGATAGTAATACCAAACACTAATTTTCAGTAAGATAGGTTTCACAAACTCTATTCTCCTAGATAAATTTATATTTGGAAATCTGTTGTTGAGATGCATAGAAATGAGTTTTCAATGTATAAACTAAAGCTAAAAATGCTATAACTATTAATACACAACTACTACCACTACTATAACATAAAACACAGCCTTAGAGCAGAATGAGGGAATAGGTAGGTGTTGCCAACCCACCTAAACGGGTTAAAACCATTGATACCCAGATACATGTGCGTGGGTGCCATATCATGTTGGATACTTCAAATTTTAGTGTAAATTTCATATATGTACTGTATCCAGGCATGTCCTTTCTGTGTTTGGATAACAAAGGTTGGGACAGGTTAGGATGTCCTTTTTTTTTGATAAATTACAGAAGATTTTCATTAATCAAGTCAAACAGATTACAAAGCAACCATCATTAAAACAGGTACACTTTATATAACAGAAACAAATTCCCCACAGCCCTACCAAGAAATCTTTTCTACAAAATTACAACCCAGTCCAGGGCAACCCCACAGCAGAGAATCCCTCCCCGCTCCATCTCTTGCTAAAGAATCTGCTAACATATTTGCSCTTCTAGGGTTCCAATTGAATGAGGCATTCAGGGAGAACCCTAGTGAGACAACCATATTTGTTTCTGACCTTTCATCCAGCAAATAACACATGACAGTCTCCCTCCTCTATTACATCTCTTAACCCCCGTTGTTGCCACAATTTTAAACCCTGTATTAGAGCCATCAATTCCGCTCTCAAAGACTTCCCTTGTCCCACCGGGCCTGAAAAACTAAGCATAACATTTCTGACAACACCCCCTACACCCAATAGCCCAGATTTCTGATACAACACCCATCAAAGTTAAACTTGATTTTCCCACAATCTGGTGGACTCCATTGCATCACTCTTACCTGTTTACTTCTTTGGAAACCCACCACTGTTTACCAGTCTCTAAWMAATTAKTAAAAGGTAARTCTTTAAATTTTGTTGTCACTAAATCCCAATGCACCACTCTTATCTTTGTGAGTTCTATCACCTCCTCCATCTGTTTGTACTTCCCAAACAATGTTGCATTCTCTTATGAGTCTGCTCTCAAGACTGGTGGGGATGTGATGATTATCTAATTTTTAGGATTAGTATTAGCAATCGCTAATTTACACAAATATTGGATTCATACATAAGCTGCTTTCCATAAACATAAGAACTATC